TTGGACAACACGATGGCCATGGTGGACTATGATGCACCCCCACATGGTTCCATCATGATGAAGATGACCACGATTTGGTCTTTCCCACTTCACCTACACCACTTGAGTGGAACGAGAAAGGTAACATAGGTGAAGGTGATGCTCTTGTCCCACTCATGGACGTTCTTGACATTGATTGCTTGCATGATGTTGATCCACCTATTACCATGCTTCATGCTAGTATGATTTCTCCATGCGATGATTTACCCATTTATGATGAGTTTGATGATTGTCATGAGGAGTCTATTAGTTGTGATGCCATGTTACATAGGATTTCGTGTGCTAATTCTCTTGGTCACATCATGTTCGACAATTCGCTTGACTTGTCATATGCTATGCATGAGATCACCCATATTTCACATTTGCAATCTCATCGTAGTGACTATGCACATGCCATTAAAATAAACTCAATTTGCACATATGGCATAGATGACAAGCCCATGGTTATTGGCATTTGTTTTTCTTGTGATGATATTGATATGCTCCCTTTGCATCATTTATCTCATATGACATGCCATGACCACCTAGCTTCGGACATGCATTATTTTGGATGTTGTTCATATTCTCCATATGATGTTTCCACTATTGTTCATGAGGAGACCCCCATAGTTTCCTTGTATATATTAGGAGACTTTGATTCATCCTATGATTTGCACGATTCCCATGATTGTGTGCACCATATGAATCCCATGAATAAAAATGCTATTGTTGTGCCATACACTTGCTATAGTTTGCATCCCCATCATGTTGAACACAATAACTATCATTGCATGATGGATGACATGTTTCTTTACCGCACCTCAAATTTCTTTGAGCGACGCTTATCTTGTGCTAACGCTCACATGCACATACACATCATGATGGATGATGTGTACATTTATCACGTGCACACTTTCTTTGGTTTGTGTCTATTTTGTGTAGGTACCCATGAATACTTGTCAACCTCGCAATCCCATGAGTTGACAAAACGAGCTCTAGAGAGCAACGATGACTTGGGATTCAGTGGATGTTCATTCCCACCGCTCCCTTCGCACAATGACTTCGTGCATCTCTTCTACATGGCCCTCACATGGTTATGGGTTATATACCACTTCTCATGTTATGCCCATATTGCCATGTTCACTTTGCATGATATGCTCATCTCTATGCCTTTGCCATGCATTTGTGACCCATGCTTTGCATTACACATGATGATTGATTCTCACACTTGTATGTGTATTTGCAAGTTTGGTGGAGATATCTCTTGTTATTGCCATGTTCCATTTGTGACCCATTCATATGATGATACTTTGATCTCGCTTTGTCGTGTTTGCCATATGTCACGTGCATTGCCTATGCATATTATTTGCTCACATGACATGATTGCCATGATACCCTCTAGAGTGTTGCATCTTCGCTCCACTAGTTTGCATGACATGATTGCTATGCTTGCTTATGTTGCATCACCCATGATTCATACTTGCTCGTTTCATGCGGTTGATGGCATCCATTTCCATGCTTTGCACATGAGTGCTATTGCTTCTTGTCATACATCTCCATATGTTGACTCTCTTATGCTAGATGACTTGCCATGTATTGAGTGCAACAATGGTCTTAATCTTGCTCATGAGATTGCCCCCATAGCATTCTCACATATACTTGGAGATTTTGACATATTTCTTGTGAAGCATGCTTATCTTCCTTCTTTGCACCATATGCCTAGTGCCATGAGTATAGCCATTGTGTCATATTATTCATGCACTTGTGCTTCTAATGGTTATGTGCAAAAGAAGAGAACCATCATGATGAATGATGTGTTTACCTACCATGCACATACATTGTTTGCTTTCTTTTGTGCATGTGTAGGATACTTGGACTTCGTGTCGACTTCCACTTCACGTGAGTTGACCATTCGAGCTCTTGAGAGCGAGCCTCATACTTTCGACCACGACTAGCTTCTACACCACATTTCCTACCACTTCGGCATTGTGAAGGGCGCACAAGGACATGCTTTCGAGGTGATATCCTTCTCTTTTGAGAACACCCAAACCATGAGCATGCATATTGTGGATCATACTTCATGTGTTGCTTGCACCTTGACACTTTGCACACATGCTAGCGATCTTGCTTTGACTTATCATTGCCACATTGCTATGCCTCATGACCTATATGCCTTGTGTTTTGCATCTAGTTCTTGGATTACTTGCTCCTATCATATGTTTGGTTGCAACAATGCCATTTCTTCACATATGCAATGTCCCATTGCTTATCGCATGATTGACTTGATTGCCGCACACATGTTGAACAATTGCTCTTTCCTTTGTGTTGAGTGCCACGATATCTTCACTACACCCTATGCACATTATGCTTGGTTTGTCTTGCACTTGCCCCATGTGTTTAGACATATCATTATATTTGGTGTTGTGGATGATTCTTATGCCTATCATAGACCTTTTGTTGAGCACTTTGCGCATTCTTGCTATGACCTTGAGGTAGATGCTTGTTCACTTGTCACACATATTAGCATCTTTACCTCCCATTTGCATGCTTGTTTCCATGATGTACTTGATTGTGCTCATCCTATATGCTTACATACCATGCCACACTTCTTTGTCAAACCATATGCTATGCTTGCTGACAATACTTGTTGGGTGAATCACCTCTTCAATGCTTGGTTTTGCTCTTCCGCCAACCACATTTGTTTTTCCAAGTGCTTGTTATCTTTGCTTCTTTTGAAGGAATTACAAGACAGTGCGACACTGGAGAGTGCCCATTTGAAACTACAAGATGACGAATGCTTGGTGATCGTTCACTTCTACACGACGCCATCATCTCTTTCCCATGGTGGTTTGGATTTCGATCCGAGGTCGGATCTTTCCCAAGGGGGAGGGGAAGATGCGGAGCATCCTATGAACATCACCATGTCAAGAGTCCATTTGGCAAGTGACACATGCCACATCTACTTCATACATACAAAGGTGAATCATCTCCTTTACACGTGTCCACTTGTACCTTTCGAGGGTGGTATATTACGTGACCCCTCTCTCGTGTGCCTACATAGGTGTGAGCGGAGCTACACATTCATCAAGGAGGAGTCCAAGTACATGAGAACAACTACACCATCCAAGTGGGAAGCCTGGAAGTGGAGAAGGAACCGTAGAAGAAGAAGACAGCAGCTCCTAGGCAACCTCGTGCGCACGGGCCTCCCCAACCCCGTGCCCACGGGCCTCCCAGGCTGGCGGTCCTGAAGACCCCATGCGCACGGGCGTGTACCGTGCCCACGGGACCCCCGTGTCCACGGGCTTCGCAAACCCCGTGCGCACGGGCTCATGCGTCAGGTCCCAGGAGACCCCGTGCGCACGGGCTCCACTTACCCCGTGTGCACGGGGCCCCTGTGTGTGGTTGTTGGGCTCGGGCCTTGTATCCCACTTCGTCCCTTTCCTCCACCTACCTATATATACCCCTCTCCCTCCTCCATTTAGACGAAGCAAAGTATATGATAGATATTTGTGAGCTTTGCTCCATGGATCCACTCCTCTAGGAGATCACGACCTCCTCTTGGAGTAGATCAACCTCAAGACCCCCTTGTGGGAAGGATCCCCATCATAGGATCACCAAGACCTCACCTCCATAGGAGTGGGATGAACTTTGCCTTGTATCTTTCCTTTTGTTGTTCATGCACCTTGTGGATCTTGTGTTTGTGAGTCTAGTGGATGTGTGATTGGACTTGTTCTTGAGTGTTCCTCTCGTTTTCTCCCTTGTGTTCTTCTTGTTCTTGGGGATTCCCCCTCCAATTCGTGAAAGATCTCCACATAGGGTTCCACCCTACATCACATGGCCTTGGTGACAATGGCCTCATTCTGTTGCACGGCAGCCGCGTCGACGACGACTTGGGCGAAGACTTTCCTCTCCGCATCTGGGGACCTCTGGTCGGCCCTCTTTGTTGATTATTGGGCAAGCTCCTCTAGCATGAGCACCATTTTAGGCTGCTTCAGGCAAGCAGGACAACCAGAAGTGGCTACCAAGATGGCAGGGCTTGGCGAGTAGCGGGAGGGTGGAACGGTGTTTCGGAGGAAATGAGAGAAATGGGAAGGAAGTGGCTCCAACAGGCGGGCTAGGGGAAGGACAAGGGCAGGCATCTTGCGCGTCCGCGCCTTATCCGTTTCTATGCAAATTGTGCCCAAATTTAGGCCCAAAATGGGTCGCGTGTTAGCCATGCTTCTGTCCGTTTGACCCAAATGGACTTTTTTCCTACGGTCATGAAAATACTCTCTCTAATACTTAATTGATTTGCCATGTCATTTTTTCGTTTACACCATGAAGCACTGAAACATAGCTAGTATCATGTATGTCAACTAGATATATTTATTAAGGTGGCACACAATTAAATGAGAAGAGAAAACTAAGTATCATGATATGATACCATATATTATATTAAATGTTGTACTAGTATGTGCCATGCATGACAATAGATAATGTCAATATGATATCAAGTTATGATACTATGCATTGGTGAGGTGATATCATACACGAGTATTATGCATGAGACTGCCCTTAGTGGAATTAAATTGAGAAGTAACATAAGATCCACTCAGCAAATTTACTTACCAAGAGTGTTGCATGACACCAGATACCAAGAGTGTTGCATGATATCACACATGTTATTTCCCACTATAGAGATAGTAATATAGACTAGTAATACATGCATGTTACTCCCCATGGTAGGTAGTATGATACTAGTATACGAGACTTTAGTTCCCATTATGACCAACCTTAGGTGGCCAACACACTTGGACAAAGGGCGTATCTAAAGTGTACTCTCTCTGATCCAATATTGATTATCGCAGATTAATGTAGTACAATGGATAGGAGGGAGTAATTAGGATCTACTCAGAAACATGATTAGTATTAAACTAAAGCTCAAGCTCAATGTAAATTGTTCTGGGCTCCTATTCACCCATATCAACACTTTCAAAACTGCTTTAGCAGAAAAACATAACACCTTTCACATTTTCACTGAGAACGGGAAAGGATCCCTCATGCCCTCGTTTGATATAAAGTCGTCCCCGCGAAGCCAAAAGATGTGCATAGTAGACAGGAGGCACTGCAGAGAAGTAACGAATTGTAATTATCGCCACTTCAATAAAACAAGAGAAAATAAAACCAATCGTCACTAATAATACTTCCTCTGTCCCATAAAGTAAGTGTCAAAAACGCTCTTATAAACGCTCTTATATTATGGGACGGAGAGAGTACTTACCAACTGAAACAGAAGAGGTGCATCTCGCATACCTGCAACATTCGGTATGACAGTGAGTTGAATGGCGGAAATTTTAGATATGCACATGGAAGGAAATTGACAAAATATGATTACGTGTAGCATAGGTGGTTTGTGAGCGTTTGCAAAGCGTTAGCCGTAAACTTGTTTTCATCCCACAGAACATGATAACGCACAGGTCGGCTCACTCCTTATAATGATGCAACATTAGGAAAAGAAAAATCAATCAATACGTAAGTACAATAAACTTAATTGTATATTTTATTTGCACAAAGAGAGCAGCCAACCTTAGTGACAGCATGGCTACACAAATAAAAATCAAAGTCAGTGGGATGGCATACTTCTTTATCAATCACTGTACCTGAAATGAGATACAAATTAATGACTGCGATATTTAATATTGATGATTAATGTTAACAAGCTATGCAAGAACATACCAGGTAGTACATTTCCACTTCCATAAATTGTACTCACAACATCATAGTTATCAGAAAACAGACGGGTATGATGACGTTTCTGAACGACAACAAAGGTAACTCGTGGGCTATAGCAAGGGTCCAGGGATGCACAGGCCTACGTTCATTGTAAAAAGATCATCACTTCAGGAAAAATAAATAAAATTCTATAACAAAAAGAATGTAGGAATAAAATCCACCTTTTTTATGGCAGGAAGTTCAACATCCAAAACCTGATTAAGCTGTCCATTGCTGACACCATCCCTGAAAATAGAGAAATATCAAATACAAAATCTTAGGATGTGCTTTGCAGAAACATCCCAAAAATAGAGAAATATTAAATGTAAACCAAAATAACAAAGCAAACAAAGACAAAGAGAGAGGCACCTGTAAAATATGATTCTCCCAGGTATGCATCCAGTTGCCCTCCTGAAAGAAATGAGGTGCTCTCTGCATATTTTATACTACTTGTGTGAGCATAGACATACCATCTAATCTTCAGATACTTTAAAAGAGAATGAGATTGTACTTGATCATTCCACCAGTTTCTTCATTAAAAAGGTTATTTATGACTTCTTCCCGATGGGTTTGTGGACTGACTAATCCAGCATACTTGGTAATCTCAGGCCAGTCTTGAGAAGCAACAACCTTCACAAAGCACGACATTGCTACAGAATTTGCATACATACTTGCATATAGGTGTCTCATGTAGCAATTTGAATGATAACATACGAACATACAGCTGCAATGGAAGGACTAGAACATCCTTCTCCAGGATGTGGATGACTAACATCAGCGCCAAATATGATAGTCGGTATTTTACCAATACGGGGGAGTTTCCTCTCCAAAGCACTAACAAGTACCGTATTTCTCCCTCCGGCCTACGGAAGTCGAAGGAATGTAATATGCTGCATAACCAGCAAAACCAGCATGATAAAGGATAGAAGAAAACATACCTTAACATTAATTTTAAGGGCAACATTCGCAAAATACTGTTTTTTTGGCATAAAAACATGTTTTGCAAGACAACATTGAGAGACCACTCCAATATCTGTCTCCAATATTCTTTTGATGTCACCTAAATAATGATGACTGTATCAATAAAATATAATAATCAGTCAATATGCTAGTGTATTTAGAAAAAACAAAAATAATACCATAAAGAGTGCCATTATTGTCAGGCAATATTAGAATCAGCAGGTCGAGTTTTTGGCGCCGTGGTCCAAGTATGTTCATGACACGTTTATGGTGTTTCTTGAGTGACCGTGCTACGGATTTAGGGTCATAAGCTGCTACAGGGAGCACAGGTTCAGGCCTGAAGTCCTACAACAAAAAATCAAGTAAGAATGCTGATAGATAAAAAGATGTCTAGAAGCCCTATATGGATTTAAAAGATACCTACCATCCCGGATACATTGCACATCAGCACCAACTCATCACAAAAATTCAGAGCATGAGCATCTGTGACTTCCCAAGCAAAGTTAATGCATGCCCAGGTGTTAACTACTCCTCCATTGACCATTTTCTACAACAAAAGCATTACCCATAAAACTATTTTTTCACATTGTGCATAATACAAAAGATAAAATAATCACAGAGTTAAGGAAGTTATGGAAAAACAAAAATATATGGAGGGATACATAAAAATAGAAGATTTGCATTGATTGATGAAGTGACTTCGGTACCTTGCACCACATATCCCACTTGCCGACTTTTGGTAACACTAATACATCATTTTTGCCAGTGCGATCAAGAAATTTAAGCTAAGACCCAAAAAAAATAGTAAAACACAGAGAGACAATGCAAATGTAACATATATGGGAAATAAGTAGATACAAACTGATGGTTATGATACTTACGTAAGGAGGAGGTAGCACACGACCTTCAACTGTTGTGAGTTTGTTATAAAAAGTTATGCCAAATTCCTTTGTATATGGGTCCGCATTGTATAATTTTGAAGTCTGTAAAAAAAAGGTAAAACAAGATAAAGGATAAAATCTAGAGGTTGATGCAACTGTGCCTGTTCTAACAAGAATAAATACAAGGATATAACTAATTGTGTAAATTGCACCTAGTCATTATACTTGCCATTTGCCATGACAGTATGCAACAAAAAGAAGTAAAAGAACAAATTACCAAAACAGAAAAAGTAAACTCAACACTTGATGGAGGCAGACTTGCCACCACGGCATCTTTGGCCAAACAATGGCAATAGACTCAACTCAGTGGCAACCTCAACATACAGCGGTAATGGACTTGATGATCAGCAGCCTCTCAGCCAACAGCCTGCACACCATGCTGATTAGACTAGGCAGAGAACTATAACCATATGCCCTGGTTTTGTTCTCCAAAGCCAAGGCATAGGATTTGTATATGACCACGCATGCCTGTAGAACCTCGAACAGGTCTTCCACGTTTATATAAAAGCAAACTATTTTCCTAAATATTTGACTTGTTATTAAAATTATGAAATTGTCACCAGAGAAAAAACAACACTACGACATTTCAGGTCTGCATCAATTCCACTCATCTGTGGTCCTTCAAAGCCATCTTTTGATTGTCAAGATATTCTGGACCAACTGGTTTTCTCCAAATTGTGCCGTGCAATCACCACACAGAGCTAGCTAAGTTGAAGATTGTCGAGGACTATATTGAACCTAAAGCAGTGCCTTGGAGCTACTTAAGTTGCAATTGGTTTTCTCTGTCACACGGGGTTTCAGCGCTGGTGGCCACTTCGCAACAATTCACGCAGTCCTCCCTGCCACTGCGCTGTTGATTCTCCTGGTGTGGCCTCGGGGGCACAGGTGTTGCCCGCTGCTGGTCAGTCCGGTTACGAGGGTGTGAGAGCCTGGCTTAATAGGAATGATAGATAGACTACTCATATCAACAAGGGATTCCTTCTTTTTCGGAAGTCCATCCAAAAGGAACCTCAAAGTTAGGCGTGCTTGGCTTGGAGCAATTTGAGGATGGGTGACCAACTGGGAAGTTGATCCGTTAAACATGCTTGCCTTGAGGATGGGTGACCAACTGGTAAGTAGATCACGGGTGCGCAAAAGTGAGGACAAAGTGTGCAGGAAAGACTAGTGTTGGTCTGTGGGGCCAGTCTAGATCCCACCAGGCGTAACGGCCAGGAACCGGTGGTTGTGGCCGGGGCGCTACAGAGGGTTGTCGCCTCACGCAAGTTCCGGTTTGCTCTCTTCCTTCTCTATCATGCTGATTACAGTGATTAGTGTTGTGTTCTGTTGGCCTACTTAGTGACATGTTCTTGTGCCGCCCAATTTATGCGCCGCTACACCAAACATATGGACAGAAGGGACTGCCACACACTCGCACTCTGCCTGCTGTAGAACTCTCTCGTCTCCTCTGGCAACGAACAATTCTCAGCGTAGGCTCTTGCTCTGGTGGACTCGATCCCACTTCGAATCCATCCAAGTCTGCTTTCCCTCTCCGGATCCACTCCCCTCGAACCTAGCCACACTCTCCCCCCCTCCGAGATCAACCTCCAACACTACAGTTCGGGGTGATTTAGGGGCAAACAGAGCTTCGCTGCCCACCCTTGGCTGTAGCTTGGGGTTGAAATCACAGGGCGTTTTCATGGCGGATTCGAGGAAAAGTAGCGAGAAAGCGATGTTAGCAACCAATACCAACTCCGATTTGGTAATGGGGGCGTCGGATTTGAAGGAAAAGTTGGTCGATGGTTCCGACAAGGATTCAGGCGGACCAGAGGACAATGTGACGGATTTGCTGGGGCGTCTCAACCTCACCTCAGAGGAGGCCACGGCTGTAATCCTCGAAGATGAGAATGAAGAGGATTTGGTGAGCCTGGATTGGGCGTTGATAGGTAAGGTTCTGTCCCCAAATATCCTCCATATCCACACTATCATGTCTGCATTGAGACCAGCATGGGGGAACCCAAGGGGATTGTCAGCAAAACCAGTGGGGGATAATACTTTTATTGTGGAATTTGCTAACAAGGAAGACTTGGATAGAGTTGTGGGAGGGGCTCCTTGGACAGTAGGTAAACATGCAGTTCTGTTCAAGATCTTTGATCCAAGACTGAAACCGTCTGAAGTTACTTTTGACAGAATTTCTTTGTGGGCACGAATCAAGGACCTTCGCTTTGAATTAATGAATAGGACCTGGGGGGAATCCCTGGGTGCTAAAATTGGTACTGTAGAGAAGGTTGATGTAGATAGCCAGGGTAACTATCTACGAATTCGAGTTTCTGTGGAGATCTCAAAGCCGCTAATGAGATGGGTCACCGTTTTTTCAAAGAAGAAGAAAGCTTATGAGAGGTATGAAGTGCAATATGAAAAAATTCCACACTACTGCTTCTCCTGTGGCATCATTGGCCATTCTTCACTAGAATGTTCAACCCCGGGAGAGAGAGGTGAGGATGGTAAACTTCCTTATAATGCCGACAGGCTGTGCGTGAAGGATGACAAAAAAGAAAAATATTTTTACTTCATGGTCAGGACAGAGTTCACAGTCTAGTGACAAAAGCTCTCACTGTAGAGAGAAGAACAGTGGTCCTCAAAGATCTCCAAGAAGTAACTCAGAGGAGGACTCGGGTATAAAAGAGATGCAGGATGGTGCTACTTCTCCGTTGAAAATGAAGGAACTTGATTATAAGCAGAAAGACAAAGTAAGATATGGTGAGGCAAGCAATGAGCCATTTCTTTTACAGCCTAGCACGGATAGAGTGATTGGACAGAAGAGGAAACAATTAAAAGTCTACAGGCCAAAGAGTCAAGTTGTGCCCTACAATTGGAGGACTAAACAATACTGCAGAATGTCCACTTCCGATTGCCTTACCAGACCGAGACGTATGTATCTCTGAAACTTATAAGAAGCAGAAAAAGGATTTTGACAAATTACCATCAGGATCGGCGGATCAGGCGGAGGTTGCCATAGGGCAGCCCCGCCACACGCCATGAGGTTCTTGTGTTGGAACTGTCGCGGCCTAGGGACGGACGCGACAGTTGGCGAGCTGAAATGGCTCGTTAATAAATATCGTCCCTCCCTCCTCTTTCTATCCAAGACGAAGATGAGGGACTCAAGAGCTCGGAGCCTAATGTGGACGTTGTGTTTTTCGGGAGCTTTTGCAGTTAGCAGTGATGGATTGAGTGGGGGTTTGGCCCTTTATTGGTCTGCCTCTATCTCAGTGTCTCTAAAAGCTTACTCCATGCAACTGATGGATATTAGAGTCAAAACAGAAAATGGAGTTGAATGGCGTACAACATTGGTATATGGAGAACCAAAGAAAGAATTGAGGCACATATTCTGCGATAGACTCAGATTCTTGAAGTCCCAACGGAATGGACCGTGGATATGTGCTGGTGATTTTAATGAAGCTTTACATGGGAATGAGCACATGGGCTTTAGAGACAGAGATGAGAATCAAATGGCTCTGTTTAGAGATTGCCTAGATGTATGTGGACTTTTGGACCTTGGGTATATTGGCCCTAAATTTACATGGTCTAACCGACAACATGGTGGGATGAATATAAGAGTTAGACTAGATCGAGCTTTGGCAAACGGTGAGTTTCTCAAAAGATTTGATAATTGCTCCGTTGAAAACATTATCACTTCATCCTCAGATCACTATGCAATATTGATAACAATAGCAAAAAGTGGTGACCAGATTGCTTCCATTCCAGTGAATCATTCTTTCAGATTTGAAGCTGCATGGATGAAGGCTCCGGATTATAATCAAATGATAGAGGAAAACTGGAAATTTCTGAAAGATGGTGCTCCTTTTTCCCTAAACAACACATGGTCTGCACTTAATAAATTATCTAAATCTATCCATACCTGGAGCAGGACATCATTTGTGTTAAGCCTCATGCACTAGCCAACACAACCAAAAGTCCGAACTGATGGAAAGGGCTAGTACAATCCACATATACTGTAACACCCCCTCTCACGTGTGACGGGGAAGACAAGTCAACACGTGCAACCGGAAGAGAGCGACGGCGCGCGAAACTCACGTATGACTCAAGAGGCCTCTACGTGGACACAAAGGGGGGCTATCAGCAATTTTTAAATAAATTGCTCAAACCAGGACTTGAACTCAAGACCTTAGCTCCGATACCATGTTAAGCCTCATGCACTAGCCAACACAACCAAAAGTCCGAACTGATGGAAAGGGCTAGTACAATCCACATATACTGTACCAATTTGGACAAATAAAAAAAGAGATAAGAAGACTCGAGAAACGCCTTGCTGAGATAAGAAGCAACAATTTGGTGACTGGTAGTTCTGGCGAAGAGAAGCAGATTGAAAAACGGTTATGTGAACTATTTGAGAGAGAATAAATTATGGCACGTCAACGCTCAAGGATTGATTGGCTGCGAGAGGGGGACCGCAACACCTCCTTTTTCCATGCCGAGCTTCAGCTAGGAGAAGAACAAATTTAATTAATCTCTTGAAGAGAGCTGACGGAACAAGATGCGAAGATCGTGAAGGAATCAAGAGTATGGTATATGAGTTTTATGCTAACTTATTCACCTCTGAACCTTGTACCTCATTAGATGCAGTGCTGGAAGCAATTCCTTCTAAGGTGAATGAAGAAATCAATGAAGCGCTTTGTCGAGAATATACAAATGACGAAATCAAGACTGCACTATTCCAGATGGGCCCCACCAAGGCCCCTGGACCCGACGGATTTCCTGCTCTATTTTACCAAAAACATTGGGAGCTGCTAGAAGAGGATATTTGTGCAGCAGTGAAGGGTTTTCTATTGGGATCCGAAATTCCAGAAGGCTTCAATGATCCGGTAATTGTATTAATCCCAAAAGTAAACTCTCCCGACATGCTCTCTAATTTTCGGCCAATAAGTTTGTGCAACGTTATATATAAAATTGCTTCCAAAGTTATAGCTAATCGACTCAAACTTTATTTGCCGGATTTAATCTCTGAACAACAGAGTACTTTTGTGCCAGGAAGACTAATTACAGAT